CCAGGTCCCTTGAAACATATGCTGTGCAGATGTTTCTTCCCTGCAGCGACTGTGTCAAGCAGCAAGGATGGACCGGCTTCCGGCAGTGGTCATAATAATCTGGCCACTCTGTGTGTGTGTATTTTTTTTCCTGTGCGTATATATTAAAACATGATTTTCTCCTGTCATTTTAATTATTCAACTAGCCATAAGAATCAATATGGGAAGGGGGAGAAGTTCCCTTCCCCCACAACTTCTGAATGTGGAATGAAGACTGTTTCATGTTAAAGGAATTTCAGTCATCAATAAGGAGTTGGAGATATAACGTTTTTTTGTGATTAAAAAAGTATTGGAAGCCCTTGCTAGTTTGATAAGTAGATAGAGCATCAGCCTGCGGCCTGAAAGGTCCCGGGTTTGATTCCAGTCAAGGGCACATGCCAAGGTTTCAGTCTGGATCTCTACCAGTGATGTTTCTCTCTCTTCCTCTTCCTTCCTCTCTGAAATCAATAAGAGTATATATTTTTAAAAAGTAATGGAAGGGGCCCGGCCGGCATGGCTCAGTGGTTTAGTGTCGACTTATGAACCAGGAGGTCACTGTTCAATTCCAGGTCAGGGCACATGCCCCAGTTGCAGGCTCTCTCCCCCGTGTGGGGTGTGCAAGGGGCAGCCAATCAATGATTCTCTCTCATCATTGATGTTTCTATCTCTCTCTCCGTCCCCCTCTCTCTCCCTCTCTGAAATAAATAAATATATATTAAAAATATTAATAACATAAAAAATAAAGAGAGAGGAAGGGAGAGGGAAAGAAACATTGAAGTGACAAGGATACATTGAGCAGCTGCTTCCTGCACACGCCCCCTACAGGGGATCAAGCAGGAAACCTGGGAATGTGCCCTGAACTAGAGGGAACTGGTGACTCTTCGGTGCATGGGAGGAAGCCTAACCAACTGAACCCCACCGGCCAGTGCAGTTTTTGGACATTTTTGTCCCCAATTTTATTTGGTTTAAATTTGAATTTGAAACAGGGTACTAGAAGAGAGGGCAAAGACAGGATAAATGGTGAAGGAAGGAGACTTGACTTTGGGTGGTGAACATACAATATAATATACAGATGATGTATTATAGAATTGTATACTTGAATCCTATATAAATTTATTAACCAATGTCACCCCAATAAATTCAATAAGAAATTTAAGAACCTTTCTATTATTGCATTATAAAAAAATTTAAATTTGAAAGTTGATACTTGATTTGGTTGTTGGAAACCTTTACTCACAGAAGCTTAATAAGGTTTTCTCTTGCTTTTTAGGACTCGTTAGAATGAAAGGGACTTTAATGGTATCTCCTCAATGCTTGAATCTGCCCAGTGAAATGTGTGCTAGCATGTAGTTTACCTTATTGTCCCTATTTCTCATTTCTTTACATTTCCAAAATTTACCATCCTTTGACCCTCTGCTATGCCAGAAGGGAATGGTAGTCAGGGTTCTTTGGACATGAGGTAGTGAGCAAGAAAGTAAGTTCTGAGGTTTTAGGTAACTGAATGTGCATTGAAATGACAAAAATTTAGGGGTGGAGTTGTGGTGCCGGGAGCCGGTCCATCCTTGCTGCTTGACACAGTCGCTGCAGGAAAGAAACATCTGCACAGCATATGTTTCAAGGGACCTGGTGTATATAGCATACTGTTCTTAATATGTTTGCTCCCCTTAGCGCTATGTGTTTTAACCAAGGTCACCTCTC